TCGGGGAGCTGTTTAAAATCGAAGGCTCTTATAGTCTGAAATTAAGGCCCTCAAATTCAGCGGCAGTGCTTGCCTGCACTCAAGTTGTTTTGTTCTAATGTTGCCTTGTGCTGCTGCAAAGGAAATTCAAGGCAAGCCAGTTCAATTGCTAAAATGCAATTGCATGCGTTCCGTTTAAAACTGAAGTCCAGAATTCAAAATTCAGATTAGAGATCTTTGCCATGCTCGGTAATCACCATCTCCCTCGCCCCGTGGCTCAGCGACTCCTGCACCCAGCTGTGCAGCATGTCGAAACTGGCGCGGTCGGTGGTGTCGTACACCAACACACACCCCTGGGCGCCGTTGTAGAACTCGTTGCGCACATCGAAGTACTCGCGGTCGCCCGCTAGATCCCATAAATTCACGCGCACCTGACGCAACGCGGCCGCACACAAGTTCAAGGAACGAAAGAATTGCAACTGGAATTGAGCAGTGGGTGCCGTGCCGACGCTTGGCGCATCGCTGTGAATTATTCAGATTGCAGCTGCCAAAATGCGGGGACAAAGGAATGTATCGCACCTTGGAGGCCATGGAGCGTGCGGAACACACAGTGCTGGCGTATTCCAGGTGCAGGAGTAAATGCAACAAAGGCAGGTCGCGACGGTGCTCGATTTCCGGATGGCGGGGATGGAACCAAACTCAAACGAACCGAACGTGTGCCCAATATTCCATGTGACATAGCACACGTGGGAGCGATGCAGCACAGCTCGCGCGTGCCACAAGCCATAGTTTCCTACTCTGAGGACGTGACGCCAATTCGCTCCCCCATGTTAGGCTTCGAACAATCAGGTTACTCGGAGAATTACCTCATATTCCCCGTACTCGATCGCCTTGACTCCGTAGTCCACTCCAATGGTGGGCAGGTATCTCGAAATAAACTTCCCCTCGCAGTACCTGCAGCACGAGCCTTCGATTGATCGGTTAACTTTCCAGAAGATGCATGCACAGGAGGCTAAACCCCCTCGTCCACCCGAGAAAACAGTGTGAGCGAAGGGCGCGACAAGCACCCAAATGGACATCGAAGGCTCCAGAGGGCCTCCACAGTTTACCCACAGGATTCACAGATCCAACGCAGGGAAGCTTCGAACTGCGAACAGTGGATCCGACGTTGCTGGTGGAAAGTGCGGTATGTTCTCCGTGTGTTACATGCCGACCCGCGATTACCATCTTGCAGCGATTTGCCATTAGTTGGCTTCAAAGAGACCTCCCTCATCAGCATGGGCAACAATCGGTTCTGCCGGCGGATGGCTGTGGTGGCGACCGCCCACCATTGCCCCCACAACAGCGTCAGCGGCCGCAGGGCCGGCTCCAACGGTGTTTGGGACCCCACACTATCTCAGCGCCGCGCCAAAGCGCTCAGCTCCCTTGTTGCGCCCGCTCTGCTACAAATGGTGTTTGGTCACGCAGTCAATTCATCTGGGCGCGACAATCCCTGGCAGCGGTCAATCTCTGTTGCGTTGACAACCGCTCCCAGGACAAAACGCAGTTTTCTCGTCTCCCGTGTGCCGCATTGCGCCTCCTCCCATTACCGTTTCATCAAGCAAGACTTGCCCACACCGCTCTCACCCATCGATATAACTTTAATCCTGCACACCCTGCCGCGGGGGCGCTGCCGCAGGCGGGCTTTCCCCATGGTCAGCTTCATGGCGCCGCCGTCCCATGCGGTCACCTAGCGAGGGATCCCGTCCAGCGACCTGAGGGCGGGGGCCGGCGCCCGGGGCCAGCCAGTTTCGGCCCCTTCGCTCTGTGTCTGACATTAATGGAAAAGCGACGCACATGGAATTACACCGGCTGTGCTCTCGTTGGCGCAAGGGCGGGCGATGAGAAATGGGGAGCGGACGGGATGCCTCACTGCTGTCTTAGTACGTAATGTTTCATCAATTGGAACAGCAACAGCGGAGTTTCAGTCGAAACTGCGCCATTGCTGTGTGAATTGAGGAAATCTGTTGATGGTAGCCGCAAAACATATTAAAATTGCCTCGTTCTGTAAAAAATCATGATGATGTTGATGATGAAACATGTTGACAAGCATCCGCAATCTATTGGTCAAGCAGATTGTCTCCCCTGGCTGCTGGTCCGTTTTGTTGCCTGCATTCAGTGATTAGACAGACCTCTAAGCTCCAAGGCTGCGCCCACTTTGTTTAAAGCGATGGGAAGCAAGTGGCGCAGCAGTTGGTGTTCGGATCAGAGACACGGACTCTGCAGTGCCAAAGGACTGCTCTTGAACTTCAGCAAAATGCTCACAGTCCCATCTGACTGGCGCGTTCAGAATGCAGCAGCTCGCAGAACTAACTTTCGTGTAAAATGTCGGTAAGGGGGTCACGGAAAACAACAGAACATGCATCCTCTTCTCTTTTTGTGCACTCAGAAATAGCGATGTTGCACACAAATTTCCTTGTTTTCTGATGGCCAATCTTGAGCACAACAGTTTTGCCCAAAAAAACACATAATCGCGATATTGCACACAAGTGCAGCCTTTCGGACCTTACCGACATTTTGCACGAAAGGCTGTTGCAGTTGTCGTGCACCACGGGGAACTGGCAGCACGTCGGTGCGCATGTACACTCGCCCAAGAGCTCCCACCACGTTGGCCCACCAGTTTCTTAAAGTGAATCGTACCTACTCACAATCCTTGACGCAGGTAATGGGGGATCAGCAGAACCAGGCTTCGTTTTACGTCAACGTTCACGCTTTTACTGTCACGTTTTTATCCTTAAAAACGTAAATTTTGCAAAAGGTCCTATTTTTACGGCTAATTTTACGTTTTTGCGGCTCCCTGGGACACCCAGGTTACACGATGAAAGTTCCGTACAAAGGTCAGTCCTCCGGCATCTCCAGCATCCGCAACACAATGTCCACCTCGTCCTTGGCAAGGGCGACGATGGCATGTAACAAAAGCTCGTTTTGTGCCCCTTCCAGGGCGTCTGGCTGCCACTCTCCAGACTCCGTAAATCGGAATGTACTGTCCTTTTGTACACCGGGCAGCTTTTACGTTGTATTTACGTATTTTTACACATTTTCACGCGTAAAACGTTAAAACTATTTCTACGCGTGAAAACGTAAATACGAACAGTTTTTACGGCGCAAAAACCAAGCCTGAGCAGAACACAACTTTCAATGCCACACAACACTACTGCCGCAACACACTGGCAATACAGTTTGGATCAACCACTTCACACGAGGCACATTACACAATCGTAGAGCAGCGCCCGACCACAAGGATGGCGAGGGCACACAATAAAAGGATGCAGAACAGAAGACGTTCTTGGACGTGCGCATGCCCATCATCGTCTACGAGGTGCAAGGGCAACGCCTTATCCTGTCCAAGGCAATATGAAAGGATCGCAAAAAAGCGCTGGCATTCATTTCCTCCCTCCGTCTTTCCAGCACTCACCACAGGCTAACCCCAAAACCCGGACTGCTGAAGTCGCAGACTGGGGCCTCAACACGGCAGGACCGGCACTGTGGGCATTGGATCAGCCAAAGTGACCCGGTCCTTCCCCTCTCGGTGTTGAAATGCAGGTGGTAAAGGGGATCCCTGGGCTGGGGATCGAACCGGATACCTCTGATGGGAACGAATTGAATTGAATTGAAATTTCCATTAACAGCGTGCCAGCCAACATGGGCTATGTCGCCGCCAGCCCCCACGAACACATGCTCATGTTGACTCCCCGTGGACGCCAGTATGCGCGCACTGGCGCTTGCCTCTACATTGAGGCCTATTGGTTGTTTGTTCAGACACTCCCCTATATCTCACCCGCATCACGCCCACTCCCCTCACCATCCCTGATTTGATGTCCCACTGCTCTCCCACTCCGCGCGAGGGGCGAGGAAGATGGCAGCCCACTCCTGTAGCATTCCCCCCCCCCCCCCCCCCCTCCCGCTCACAAAACGCATCCCAAAGTACTGGTGTTGACCTGGCATCCCCCGGCCAATCCCAAACCCTCCCGCCAGCCCACCTCACTCATCTTCCTCCCCGCTGTCAATCTCGCGTCACTCAGCCAATCCACAACACCCCAAAGGCGCGGCAACTCCCACCTGACCCCCACTCGTGGACCCTTCGCCCAACAACCACCGTCGCCTCTTCCGCCTTGTTCTCGGAGCCCGGCCCTGCGCCCGGCCGCACCGACTAAGGCGACCGGACGTGCAGCTCATCGCATCGCCGATTGTCGCCCTCGAGCCGCGGCCGGCCGCGAGGTGGGGCGTTGGAGCGAATCGCGAAGAGAAGTTTTGGGACTTCCTGTGGGAGGGGATGCGCGGCCGGTTGCGCGCGTTGCGCTTGCGGTGACGGGCGGCATGGCTGTTGGGCCCACCGGCGCGGATCCGGCGAGCGGGGGGGGACGGCTGCGAAGGTGGATTTCTCGTTGGTGGGGAGACGTCGTGCGCGGGCGCCCTCCGGGTGCCCCTCGGCTTTGCGCGTTGCAGCTTCGCGGTCGTGCTGCGGCCCTCGGAGGGCATGCGCGGGCGTCGGCCGCAGGCTGTCTGGGCGGGATTGTCCGGCGCAGGAGTGCTGTTCGTTTGGCTGCGGCTGCCGTTCGCTGAGCGAGCGGACTCGAATAGCGGGATGGACTTTCTCGATTTGGAACGCGTGGCTTTGCGGCACCGACGGTGGCTTGAACGGGATGGTCGACGCGGTGGCGGTTCGCTCCCCGCAGCTTCGGATGCTGACGGGGCTTCTGCGGTTTGGAGCGCTCCCAGTTGCCGCGGCGCGGTTGGCTTCCGCGGTCAGATTGCCGCGTCCCGCGGTTAGATCTCTCGCCTGCCCGCACTATTTCGCTGTCGCCCAGTCATCATATGCGCAGTGGAGGAATGCTGCATGGCTTGCTGCTTGTAGGTTCGGCCTCATCCACACCCACCGCCTAAGCAGACGCAAACTCGGCCGTCTGTGCCAGCACCCGTCCCCTGCGCCAGCACAGCACACTTTCGTTAAGCCGCTCATCCCATTCGTGGCCACCCCGTCGATGAGGATCGCCTTAGGGGCGAAGGGGCTGCCTGCCCTGCACCTGACCAGGGGCGGGCGGCCAAGGGGCTTCAATGCATCGCCCGCCTTGCGCCGTCCGTTCTACCATCGCCTGCCCCATCTGTCCCTCTCCAGGTTCCCAGGGAGGCCGGTCGTGAGGGCCCAGAAGGCCCGGTGCGACCCCCGCCTGCCTCCACGGAGGAAGGATGCCATCAAATCGTCAGACGGGACACTGCGGGACACGGCACCGCCGGGGTTGGCAAAACAGGCTGCGGGCAGCGTCCTGGGGGCCACCGCCCTGATTACTGGCTCCACCGTGGGTGCGGGGATGCTGGCGCTACCGGCAGCCACGGCGGGTGGCGGATTTTTCCCCTCAGCTGGCATCATGACCGTCACTTGGGGCTTCTTGATTCTGGAGGCCTTGCTCATCGCGGAGGTGAACCTGACGATCATGAAGAAGCAACAGGCGCGCGGGGAGACGCCCAGGGTGGTGACCCTGCGCCAGATGGCTGCAGAAACGCTGGGTCCCACGGGGGGCAAGGTGACCTCCTACGTCTACCTCTTCCTGTCCTACACCCTGCTGGTGGCCTACATTGCCAAGGGCTCTGAGCTCGTGAACCTCCTCTCCATGGACGCCATCCCGGCCTCTGCGGGGGGGCCCCTGTTCGCCTTCATCATGGGTGCCTTCCTCTTCCGTGAGGACACCGAATCTGTCGATGTCGTCAACAGGGCGCTGACCTTAGGTCTGCTCGCGGTGTTTGGCGTGCTTGTGGCTGGAGGGGCGTCCATCGCGGACTGGGGCAGTCTGCTGCACCACCAGGATTGGGGCCAGGCCTGGGGGGCCCTGCCTGTTGTCTTCCTCTCTCTGGTGTTCCATGACCTGATACCCGTTTTGTGCAACTACCTTGGGGGAGACAAGGGGCGGGTGAGGACTGCCGTCGTGGCTGGGGGTGTGGTACCATTGGCGATGTTTCTTGTGTGGAACGCCGTGGCCCTGTCCCTGGTGCCCGGGGCGGTCGACGTGGCCAATGCTGGCGGAATCATAGACCCCCTGAGGGTGCTGATCGAGTCACTTGGCCCCTCAGCGGGTCTGGCCATCGAGGTCTTCTCCCTGCTGGCAATCGCCACCTCATTCATCGGCACCATGCTGGGCTTCTCAGACTACCTCAGGTCTGAGATCAAGGGGTGGGAGAAGCAAAAGTTGTTCGATGGGCTGGTTCCGAAGCCAGAGGAGGGAGGGGAGGGGGAGGGTGGCATCCTTGGGGATGAAGCTAGCAAGCTTGCTGCGATCTCCCTCGCCCTCGTGCCGCCAACGCTGGCTGCCGCAACCAGTCCTGACCTCTTCTACCTCGCCACCCAAGTTGCGGGCGGGTATGGGATCACACTCCTGTATGGGATCCTCCCGCCGCTGATGGCATGGAGCGTGAGGCCGGTGGGCACAGTCAACCAGCGATTTGCGCCGCTGATGCCCATGGTCCCTGGGGGCCGCAAAGTTCTTGCCAGCATCACTTCCTGCGCAGCAGCCATTGAAGTTGGCAAGCTTGCGGCTGACTCCAGCGGGCTGGCAAGCGGGCTTGCAACAGTGGGGTCAAAGGTGGGCACTGTGACGAATTTGGTCATCGGCGATCTTGCGGCTTTCGAATCTTCAGCCCACCTTGGACACTGGTGATTGGGTGGGTGAGGCACATGCCTGGGAAGGAAGCACGATTTTGTCATCGTTATTGTGTCTACGAACTTTAGGTGAATGGTTTTGGGTGGGAAGCATGGTCCCAACCTGATAAGCAGGCCACATTGATTTGCAGAAGCTGTAACTCTGGTTGACAGCAATCAGAAGATTTTCTCTTTGCATTTGATTGCCTGAATTGTGACAGCTGGGGAATGTGGTCTTTTTATGTATGCCTAGAACTGGCAGAATTGGGCATTGGTGCCGATGCACATGCTGTGTGACACCAAGTAGAGAGCACCTGTTCTGGAGAGGACAACTGGAACTGTTGTACAAGTATCGAATGCATGCAGCCCCGGTGTTGCGCCACTGGCTGCAGTGGCCCAACAAGGAATTTTTTTTAGGGTGCACTGGGGGATTCTGATTCTGGCAGAACTTGTTATCCCCAAGGGGCAAAGTGTGAGAGGAGTCAATTACGTGAGTGGCCTGTCAGCTGGGCTGTCTCAGAGGGCCCCTGCTGGGTCTGCTGGGACACCGCTGCATTGCACAAGTTGGGGATCATCAGCAGAGCTGGGACTTGAGCTGCCTGTACTGTTCTGTATGGCTTCGCATGTATCTGGAGGTGAGGGAGGTGTCTGAAATACGGCTGTGGCTACACGATGCTGAGCACATGGTCTGTCTTTATGGCAGCCTGGTTCTCAGTTTCAAGATCAAGGCACTAGGCACGTGTGAAACGCAATCAGGGTGTGCTTCTGATGGGATGCTGGGCAAGGTGTTTGGCAGGTCTGGGCCCGTTGGTACCGACCTCATCTCCAAGTCGTGCTCTGTGGGCCACAATGGGACAGAGGGATCTCCACGGCTTCGATTGTGAGTGGTTGAGAGGATGGAATCATGTACACTGTCTGCGAGGGGGGGGAATGATTTTTTATTCAGGGGACGTTGAATTTTTTCATTTGGAGTCCGGTGAACGGTCGCGGGGACCGCCCGGTGAGGAGGGGGGCTGGACACCCGGCGGAATTGTTCATGGTGGTGGCGGTGTGTCTTGAAAGAGTTGTGTCCATGCTACAAAAACGTGTGGTGTTGGTGTTGGTGGTGGGGGGAGGGGTGTACGAAATGGGAGACGAGTCCATGGCTCGCAAATTTGTGCCTTGTGGTGGCTGTGCGGGAGGGACGTGTTCATGGCTCGCGAATTTGTGACTTGTGGAGGAGGTGCAGGATGAAGGTGTGAGTGGTGGATATGTGGAGTCGCTGTTATGTTGGAGACACAGAACCCAATTTCAACAACTGCATTCTCGGAGGTGTGGGATGGACTGCATGGCGTGCTTGTGCCTCGCATCTGGGATCCCTGCGCTCGTGCGCAGGTCTGGTGCACGCAACTGCGTTAGGAAGCTTCGGCTGGGTGCTTCCGACCGGGCGTCGGTTTGGCGACCGCCTCGTTGGGAAGTGCCGCAATCCACGCGGATGGATGGACTGCTGCTGCAGCGCACTGCTCCAGCGCAAAATGAGTAAATGAAGATTTTTGCCCACAGCAAACTTAGGCGAATCAGTAATCGTTGAATAAGGAAGGAAAGAGTACAAAATTGCCAGCCTGCTGTGCAACAGAGTTGAGCACTCACTGGAATGCGCAGGTCGCCCTGATGCCTGCATCACAACGCTCTCTTGATCCGTCAGGATTGTATCAATTCTGATATGCTCCAATGAATGCATCTTGTCATTGGCCGACATGCGAATGGGCGTTTGCTGTGTTTTAGCAAACGCAGTCAGCGAGGATTAACACAATGCCATGCGCGATTTGAACTAAAACTGATCAAAGCGCCAGTGCCGGGTCTGAGGTGCCGGCTGGAACTGTGCCATGCACCGTTCCGCGCATAGAGGGTAGTAAATGGGCTGGACAGATAGACGTGATCCCTCCTGGTGTTGTCAAGTACTTTTGCTTGACGAAGCCTGTCTGAGAGGCCCCCACGTCGAGTCCTGCCCAGGCATCCAGTTTGCTGCCTGACCAACATGAAACTATCTCTGTTGTGCAGGCAGGCACTGCATGATCAAAGGCCACTGGATAGCATGAGGGCTGGTCAATGACACACGGCGGAATGCCTGTGTATAACCCCCACCCCACCCCATCCCCTTCCCCTTCCTTTTCCATGCTGGCTCTGCTTCCGACCCAGCAAACCGTGCTTGGAGGGACACGTGACAGCCCGAAAGCAAAGAATTCTGACGTTTGATTAACATCGCCCGAACACCACCTGACTAGGGAAACTCTAACCTACAAATCCTGCACATGCATCGAATCATTCAAACTGCCCAATGCTCTGGTCGTCAGCAGTGGACACCCGCTGTATCCACCCAGCTGAACACCAATCTAACCAATCGACCGTCCTGCATTGGCGTGGCCTTCTTCACTCCCCCGCACCAACATCGCCTCATTACCTGACTGCATAACACCACAACCCCTTGTCCACTCAGGCCATACATTCCAAAGAGCCTGCGATGGCAAAGCAGTCGACAATACCGCCCGGCCCTGCTCTCTGCACTGCGGATCGCTTGCAGCCGAGCAATATACAGCAGCCATGCTCACCCTCCTCGAGCGCCGCCACCGCCACACCCATCCACGACCCGCCAGCCCACACACACCTGGCCCCTTCATCGCCTTGTGGGTGCCTGTGCGCGTCACAGCCGATCACATGAATGCTGTCTGGACTTGCACGCGCTTCCCTCACCCACTGTTCATCACAGCGCCACAGGCCCCCGCCCGTTCCAACGGGATCGCCACGCCCCCGCAGTCCTCTCTGGCACAACTCCTGCATGTCGGCAACCTCCATCATCGTGGCGTTGCCCCTGCACATCCCAATCAAGGGACAACTCTGTCACAATCACCAACGACGATGCCCCCACCGCGTCACCACCTCGCGCCCGGCACCTCATGCCTGCCCCGCCCATCGCCGCGGGCCCCCGTCAGCTCATGAGCCAATCAGCTCTCTTGGGCTACCAGGCGCACTGGCTGCGCTATGTCATTGTACGACAAATGCAATCGATGGATCTGTAGCGGCCACCGTTACTGCGCCCCGCCCGCGTTGGCGTTCCCGTTCAGGCGCCCGCCGTCCACCTTCCTCTGCGCCCCGAGCTCCATCATTGCACGTATCGCGTTCTGCGTGCCAGCGTCCGCGGCCGACATGAACCCCTGCACCCGCCCCGGGTTCGTCTTCTCCAGCATCGCCATCGAGTCGGCGAAGACGCCGAAGGGGTCCACGCCCGTGAGCGGCGTCTCGAGGTTCTTCTCGTCGTCGTCGTCGCTGTCGTCGCTGTAGTCGGAGTCGGCCCCCAGACCCAGCATCCGCCGCGCATCCTTCTCAAGGCGGATCAGGGTGTCCGAGTCGTGGCCGCTGCCGGCGCCGTCGGCCTCCTCCTCCTCCTCCTCGTCGTCGTCGTCGTCGTCGTCGTCGTCGGAGAGGTACTCGTCGGAGGACGAGGAGTCTTCCTCCTGGGAGGGGCCCAAGGGAACGGGACGTCAGCCCTTCCACCCAGCCGTCGAGTGGTCGATGATCATTGTGAGGAAAGAAGTTATCGAGTGATTATGTGATACATGGTGTTTTATGGTGCGAACTAGATATGGTGGATACGGCGTCCAATTATGGTGAAATGAGCACGGGGACAATGAGGACACGAAATGGACATGTTTACAGTGAGTCCTATTTGACTGAACGGCTCATCCTGTAATGCACCTGGCTACGGCTTGGCTTCCCCTTCCTGGGAGCAACTGTGTGCCCGAGTGTATTGGTTTTCGTCATAATCACCATCACGAAATTTTACACAACAAGGCGGCGAATGAGCCTTGATGGAGTGATTGATCAGTATGTAGCAAGAATTGCTGATGTTGGATGATGTGTGAGGTTCTTGCCAGTGATGGCCTTCGATCGATGAATCAAACCAAGGAGAATCCCTACTGAAGGGGTGCGTGGGTGGTGGGTGGGTGCGGTGGCGGGAGGTCAGCTCATGTTTCAAGTGGACGTTAGATCGTCCAACTGCGATGAAGAGAGGGAAGGGCGGGCAGCAGAGTGAGACCACCATGCGTCCTCCATAACCAATCATTAGGTTCGTCAAAGTTCACGAGTTCCTCTTACTCTGTAGTTGCTTTTTAGTGTTCTGCTTCACTCGCCAAAGCACCATCCTGCAGCTTTGTTATTGTTTCTTGAAAGTGTGGGGATCGATGGCGGAAACATGCGGGGTCGTGGATGTGGCAGGAATTGTGTGCAGGGCATAACTTTGTTGCAGACATGCCAAAGCACAGCCCCCGGTGGCTTGTTCAATGACATTCTCTTGCCTGTTGTGTTAGTAGTGGCTGACAGCCATGTGCAGAGGCTATGGGAACGTGACATCAATGGTACAGAGCTCTATCCGCGTCCAGCCCTGTGGATTAATGCAACACTGGGATATGCAGCCAAAAATGGGCACGGCAATTCCATTCTGCACTGGTGCTGCCATGTCGGGTTCCTAGAGCTCTCGCTGGGCTACTCTGTATCTGCTTCAATGCCGGGTTCTCCCAGGAATTTCACATTGAGCCAGTGGATTAAGAATCCCTTATTGTTCAATCAGTAATTGATTGATCGTGGTTGCCAAAATGCGCCACGACGCTCATGCATCTCTGCATATTTGACGCGAACGCCACAGATGGCATGTTTGCAGCCATTGCAGACATAGCAGGCCAATGCTCCACAGCAACTGTCCGTCAGGTGTAGATGAACGTCATCAACAGCAACCGGCAAAAAAAAGCCACTGTTGATGCAAACTAACGCCGTCAGGTGTGTCTGACACAGTCAAATGAGCAAGAAGGGAATGATTTGTCTCATTTAGGTAAATGCAGCAGATGCCAATTTGTGGTGCAAGACTCACCTGGCCCTGGGTCTCTTCTTGAGCTCTCCAGGCGGCAAGTAGCTTCATGATTCCTGCCAAAATCTGACCTAGGCCGTTGTGGAGCTCCTGTGGAACCTCATTGTCCGGCAGCGTGATGAGTGAACACAAGCCCAAGATGCACACCTGAGGAAGAGCAGCAGATGTAGGAGCGATTAGAAAAGAGCAAAGAAAATGGCAAAAGAATCGAGAAGGGCGTGCAATGCAATTATGTGGCACACATGTGAATAATATGTACGTTGTGCCTTAGCTGTGCTGCAGCCAATAATGACATGAGGAAAAATCAAGTATGGAAGGTGTGCCAGGGTGAGCACACACAGTGCACCATCAGGTTTCCTCCTCTAAGCAGCCATTCCCATTGCGATTTGGATTCTCAGCTGCTAAAGGACCCCCCGAGGGCCGAAGTTTTCTTCCTTGCCACAGTGCAATCATTTTCACGCGATCAACCTTTTGGGAATAACGTAACCCTGCACTTTCTTGCGACTTGGAATGAGGCTTGCACACTTTGGTATAACACACCATCTACGGAGTCAACTGGCATAGATTGAGTTTGCATTGGAACACATGCCGAGGCAAATGATGTTTCAGAACGTCGAAACTCCTATACAACTCATATAATCTGATGAACTTCGACAGTCACACCCATGAGGCAACAACTTGCACCCAAGAGCCCCACCTTCTTCTTGTTCATGCTCTTGAAATGCTTTTCCTTCTCATCCTGACCTCCTGACAGGATCATCTCGAACCATGTGTTGAACACCGCCTGCGTGGCGCCCGCTTGCTGCAGGGCCTGCACCGTCAGTTTAGGGTGATAATACAACGCGTTGGCAACCACCAGCATCACCAGCACCTTTGTCGATTCGCTCTCTGCGGCTGCCAGCCTCTTAAGGCACAGGGTGAGGTAGATGCCAACACAGCCGTCCACGTGGCCGCGGCAAGTCTGCAGGACGACGCTCATCAGCGCAAAGGAGGGAGCTATGTCCACTTCCCTGAAGTCGCCAGTCATGGTGTACTCTATGATCTGCGCCCCACAGGAACGACTTAGGGACGGGCTCATGAGAGGGATGGGCATAGTTGAGAGAGGCAGTGAATCCTTAGAGCAGAGACTTCTCTCGTATAGGACCTTGCCACCATTTTCCACAGAAAAAACTCACGAAGATCAAAGCATCCAAGACAGCATTTCACCAGGGGTGGCCCATTGTTTTGATTACCATGTTTTCCCTTCCCAAAAAGGGCATTCAAAACACAATATAGAACAGCTCAATAGATGATCTTCACCTGGTTTACTGATGCCAGGTAGTTGGGCTCCTTGCTGCGCAGGAACACTTCTGTCGCCCTTGAAATGAACATTTCAAAGGGCACCCGCATGTACTCATAGTAATCGATGGCCCAGTCCATCAGCGACTCGTGCATCTTGGGCCACAGTGTCCACATGCGCGGCGTAATCTTTGGGCTGAACATCATGAACAGTGTCACCATCTCCATCACGTCCTCAAACACCTCGATGGCCTCTCTGGAGGTCATGCGGTCCATTATTGGAAAGCATATCTCCTCGAGCTGTGAGAATATGGCTGGCTGGCTGCGCACACTGTCCACCAGCGTGTTCAGGGCACGCAAGCAACCATAGGCAGCAATCGCCCCCAGGTCGTCACCATCCTCATCTTCCTGGTTTGCGTCCACACATTTGAAGAAGGCGGCAACGAGGTTCTTGCCTAGGTGGTCTGCATAGGGTGCGATTTCGTCGTCCAGCTTCTCAACAATGGACTCCAGGGTGAAGACCATGTCCTCATTTTCGACCTGACAGATGACCAAGAGAAGGACTGCGTGTTCACAACGCCCAGCAGATTCTTGTGAGGTAGCACGAGTCCTGTATCCCTTCTTTTTAGATGCTGGTGGCAGCACTCTTATTGCAATGCCAATCGTTGCAAGAGTGGCCAATTATGGAGCCATGTGGATGGAATAGCGCTTATCCTATCACTGCAGGTGCAACAGTAGTGCTTTGCCATAGCTTGGTGAACGGCATTCGCGCAGTCAGTCTCTGTCCCAGTCCGATGGATCGGCTGGCTGCATGGTATGCTTGAGCTGTTGTGTAACCTGCAGCTAGAATCTGTACTTCACACGCCTAATTTTCATGTGCACAACTTTCAAGTGCATATGCTATCAAACAAGACACCACACACGCTCGCACCTCATTCATCAGCTTGAAGAATTCATCTAAAAAGTTTGGAAGTATGGGCTTGAGCTGGTCGAGGTCCTCTAGGACATCCACAAAACTCCGCAGTGCAACGACAGCATCAACTCGCACTGGCAACTGCAGCAGGAAAATCAGAAGTGTGATTGTTATGGGCCAGAAATTGACATGGAAGCCCACTGCACTGGTACCACAATGTATACAGCAGTGCTATGAGCGCCAATAGTGGAAGAGAAGAGAATCCTGTTAACAGTTCCCCGGACATCGTCTGACAGATGAGAAGGCGTTCCTGTGCTGATGATGGGGTCACAAAGAAGATCAGTGCATTACTGTAGTGGGCATGGCACCAAGCCCAACTTGAAAAATGTCTGTCAACAACACCTATGCACCAATATAGCCATGCAACATTCGCTGCAGATCAGATCCTTGGTCAGATAAGGACATGGCTCACCACTGTCGGGCAACAGAATGGCCTGCCAATGTTGGACTATGTCAGCATTGAAGCAAACTTCCTTTACCACGTGCCAAGGGACAATGAGCAGCAACGCCAAAAGCGACTGCTGCAAACAGCAATATGGTGGGCTGCCAATTTGCACCATTGGTCACCTCTGCATCCTTCATGCAATTGACCACTTGATGGAAGAGGGCATTGAAAGTTCCTCCACCCTCCTTGAACTCAATGCCAACAAGCATGCCAGCGACCCAGCACGCTCGCGCCCGCAGGTGCCCATATGCACTGTTGAAGCATGGCATCACATGCTGAATCAGCATTGGCTCCAGGTCAGCCTTATAGGCTTTCTGCAAGCACCCAACAGCTGAATCTTCAGATGCCGCAACAGGCGATTTCCATAAACCTTTTGCTGTTTTGAAGTTCAGCACAACAGATATGGGCATTTTTCACCAAGCCACTGAAATAAGCTCCTCTGGTAAATGCTCAGGAAGCCGCACCTTGAAAGCCAAGTGGATTGTCCACATGCTAATATGCCAAGTGAATGCAGCACCCACCAGTAACAGCAGCACAGTAACAGTGACCATGGCATGCACCAAGTACATCCACACAAGGATGCCTCTAAATGCGCCTCATTGCACCTCTTCCCACTGAGCCTACACCGCTGAAACTATGGCCATCGGTCTGGATCGCCTAACAAGTGATATTGCAGTGCTCTACCAACTTTGGACAATGGTTTCAAACATTGACCAGGGGGCTCCCCCACACCTTTTTCTTGAGGACATCTGTGAGTGTCCCGATGGCCAGCAAGGCCCCATCCATCTTCCTGGCGATATCAGCTGGAACATTACCAGGCTGGAGGGCTGCCTGGTGTTGCTGCATTATGCCCACAATGTGCTGAAGCAGGCCTGGAAGGGCCAGCTTGCTACGAGTCCTGCACAGCTCGAATACGAAATTGACAGCGGCAACCTTCACACTGTAGATGTCCTCCACAATGTCGTATCCCTGAGGATCACACACACTTCACTTTTTCCTCCAAACGCACAATGCTTTCGCAGCCTTTTGCTGCAGCCGTTGGTGATAGCTGGTCGAGGTTACTGCAGAGGTTTGAAGACTTTCTGGTTTGCAGATTTCCCTGATGAAAAATTAGGAAGCAGAATATTAGGCTACAAAAAACGACAGGCATGCAAGTTTCTGTACCGTGAGCAGTGGATCCCCCATTGTTCACTGCACGACACGGAACAACAGCGTGCAAAACATTGCCAATGGAGAACGCCAATATTTCTGCAGAGCCTCCAATTTAGGGGACAAAACGTGCTGGTTCACTGGGTCAGTAATAGCGCGCAAATGAAACCTTCCCTGAAATTTTGACAAGATAATATTGTTAGAACAACTGAACAACTGCAAAACACACCTTGGCAATGACACTCACAAACCTTGCTCTGGATAAATAAAACCAATCTCATGCAGTTGCCTCAACATACACTGAACCAAACGAACAGAAGGTAAACAAACAAAATGAACAGAAGAACGACAGCAAAATGTCTTCCTGGGTCATACTTTTCTTATGTACTCATTGGGGTCTTCCCTAAATAGGTGTTCATCCTCTTCGCTGAAGCAGAGCAAGGGGAAGGCCACGTTCATGAGCATCGACTTCATGTGTTCCTTCACCACTCTGAAGCCCTCCTGGTGCGTGACAGCAAGCGTCATGTGCTTGAGGCACAGGTTGAGGACTCGGTCGTTTGGCCGGGCGAGCTGCATCACAGTCGACAGCTGCTGCAAGTGTGCCTGCAGCATCTGGACCAGGCATTTTTTCTGCAGGGAAGGGAGCACGCAACGCATGAGAACCATTCAGGGGGGGTGGCAAGATTGACAGCAAAGGGAAGAAGAACATGGTATGCAATGAAGACCCTTTTCTGAGCAATACACTGGTGAGACTCTGCTTCATGGTAGACAACATGGGGCATACAACGTGAGTCGATGGGCAGGGCTCTCTAAGCTCACATCTGCGAATTCCATCCACTGCATTTGCCACAAGTGCAAGGTGAACAAAGAGGCCTTGAGGCACGACAGCAGCTGCGACAACATCTCTGGACACAAGGAAGGATTGAATGTCTTGGATAGAGGTACATGAGCTGTACCTGGGGCAAGTGTCCAGGAAGAAATTATACCCATCGCCACCTTGAAGGCAAGAGGGTAGTGCTCTGCCATTTCTTGACCACATCAAGCAAAGGAGGGCACAAAACTTCCACATCATCCTTCCCACAATGGAAAGGGAATACCACACACCATTCTGCTAAGGTGGTTAACAAGGCGTGCAAACTTTGTTTCCTTCGCAACGAAGCCTTATTTGACACAACTGACCAGTTAATGCCCATTCAGGCCTGCCACAGCCCCAATGCAGTTTTATCCCCAAATCTTACATCCTCGTGATGCAATACTTTGGTACCATAACAAAAATCCTACTGTATCGTCCCTTTCTGTGTGGTCCATCAGCTGGTGGTCCCTGCCAAAGCCCACCTGGTACAACTCAGCAAAAGGTTTGTTCTCTTCCTTGCAAGCATCAGGCTGGCTGTAGTTCTTGAAGATGCGCTCTGTGATGTGCAACACCCATTTCTTGGCCTTCCACCAGCACCAGGTGTCCTGGTCAGCTTCACTTGCAGGGAGGTGAGCCTGGCCCGCACATTAGGCACAGACACACGCACAATCAGTGACAAAATTTCTCTTGCCATTTAGACACCTTGACAACATGTGTGTTGTGCGCTAGTCCATGCCCTCATTTCGCTTCAGTTCACTGGTTTTGGAGAACATGTATGGTGCTGAGACTTGACAGTTTGACAGGATTGCAGCCTATTTTAATCGGATCTAAACAGCATCTGGAGTTCCAGCCTTTTCTTCTTGGAGATAGAGTGTTCATTAGATGCTCTTGGCATGCTATTGGTGGCTTCAACAGTGCCGCAACGGGGAATGGCCCCACAAGTGCTTCTGCCAGCAGTGGGTGCTTATATTATCAAAGTGTCTCCAGTTTCCAAGCACATCTCAACAACACAATCTCACAGTCTGTTCCTGGCCACCAATGCCAACCCGAGCTAAGGGCCAAACAAAAAATTTGGAAGTTTCGGCCTGGAGACACATTCCTGTGTATTTGGTCATTTTCCAACTTGCGCTGAGCCTCCCTGCAAACCGATGAATCCTTCATTCGAACAGCCAGCTTCCTGCCACTTTCAAAAGACTAATCATGGCCACGACCACAGGAACTCTCAACACAAAACACCACAGAGCACCTGGCACCATGGGCACATCAGCCCCATATATAAATCGGACAATGTTCTTCAACGTGTCAGCACCTCACAAAATAAGGAGCCCTCACAAAGCCCTCATTTTCATCTGCTTCCGCACTGCGCACACAACTTCACTCCCAGTATATTTTGAGATTCAAAATATTACATCATATTTGTAAGTCCAGGTGCAAAACTCATCTTAACAAAAGAGATGTAAGCCATGTGCTCCCCGGCAAGAGATTGTCAGGCACTGTAGAGCCCAAAAGGTTGACAGCATCTAATGAACACTCTATCTCCAAGAAGAAAAGGCTGGAACTCCAGATGCTGTTTAGATCCGATTAAAATAGGCTGCAATCCTGTCAAACTGTCAAGTCTCAGCACCATACATGTTCTCCAAAACCAGATGTGCAAAGTGCTCACGCTCAGCTTGCGTCTGCTGGCAGCCCTGAATCTAAAGCCAAATCCATGGCCGCTGCAGCCCTCATGGAACTCACCATGGGCAGCTCCTTCTTCACTAAGATGAGGAGGGACTCCAACAGCGAGTCGAAATTGGCTTCGACCTGCAGGATCGGTGGGATGGTTGTGTAGGTCAGCGACCAGAAGATCTTGCACAGCACCTTCTGCAGCTCTGCATACATTGGGGCTGGGTTGGTGTTAATCGCGATGGACCGCATAACCTCCAGCAGCTTAGGCAGTGTGGCGGCCAGGACCTCATCAAGGACGCCGCGCTCCTCCTGTGCAAAGACAGACCATGTTGCAAGAAGGCTGGAAGAAAGCCTTGAACGAAGTATGCGGAACTTTGCTCCGGGAAAATGGCCAGTACTGATTGGAGAAGCAAAGTTCACTGAGACTGAGACAACTGTATCGTTTCAAGATCGTTGCCGAAGTAAGTGCTCCTTAATTCTGCCAAGGCTATGGCTTTTGACAAAGGCAACAAATGGAAGCACTTAATTGAGATATCAAGAAAGCATACAGGGACGTTGATTTCGCACTGTTAAGAAGCAAAGGGGCTGGGATGTGTGGTGAATGAACCACAATGTGCAATCAACAGCCACCAGCCCTCCCCAGCAAGGTGTGAACGATACTGCGATACTATGGATAATTCCATGAAAGTGTCTGCCAACGACAGCAAGGCTTAGGGTGCTCTCCAGCATCTATTCCAACTTGTCAAACATTGCTCTGGCGACAATTCCCACTTTGGGCAAACAACGATTTGAAAGCTGGCTGCAGAACATGACAGCACAGACCAACAGAAGGGATGTGCCCCAAAACTGGATGCCAACTGGCTGATCATGATTATTGCCTACAACTTGATAGACTACAGAGCATCACGATGTTCTGCCACATGGCTCAATTTGACGGCTCTGGTTGTCCCTTTTTGCAGAGCCACAGGCTTGGCAATTGATAGCCAGATGCCAAGCACTGTCAAGGTTCTCTGTTTTGTCAAACGCCATCTGAGAACAAATGTGCGTGCTCAGAAGAAAAGGGCAGCATGCCAACAGCACCACAATATCAAAGCGGAAGCAAACAGGCAAGCCTTGGCTGGTGTGGAAGTCGCAGTGCGTCTCACCTGTTTCTTGAACTCGTACTTTCGGGCAATAGCCCGCAGGGCCTGCATGGCTCCGAACACTTTGTTCTCATCCTGCACAGAAAATCACGCTGATAATGGCTTCCAATTGTCTGGTGGTCAGTGGATAAGATGCTTTGCGCTTTGCAAAAGCTGCCTGTACGTATGATCAGTGCCTGAAGTGCAAAAGCGGGCAGCAGGGAGAGATGTCAAGGCATCTTAATCGCAGCATTGTGACTGCTCAAACCACAAATTTCTTTCTTTTCCTTTGTGGGCTGCCATTGTGGCCCAAGCGAATCACAACGGGCTCCACAAATTGGCTGAGGGTTGGGATGACACCATGGCAAGGCCACACTTTCGACCTTGGTGTCACCTGACTGATCACTGGGGTTGCAAATTGCCACATCAATCAATACACACGTTCATGATTAGGAAAGGTTATCCAAGTAGGGCAGACAAGGGTACCTGAGCAAAGAGATTCTCCATGATGGCATCCTTGAGGCCCGGCCAGTTCTCCGGAAAGTCCACAGAAACAATAGTTTTGAGAACCTCCATCAGCTGCTTCTGTATCAAAGGAGGAGTCCTGGGCCGCAGGGTGGCATGCTCTTCAGCGCTCAGTGTGAAAACATAAAGCTAATCCCTGCAATATCACACTTGCACTGCATTCTGCCCTTTCGATCAAACTTGCTTGAGTGCCAAGCTGTGGCCCTGTGGCAATGAGTGCTTCCGTACGGGCATCGATTGACATCTGGAGTTGTCAGCTGTGCAGCACAAGAGGAAGGTTGCAAGGTTGGTTGGTTGGATTGCACTCACTGAACGATGGCGGCAAGGAAGTTATTCCGGACTTCGTTCTTGTCATCTGGGTGCAGAGGGCTCTCTTCATCTGCTGGCCACAGCCCACACTGTGTTGGAACGAATTCTGTGCCGCCAACAGCACCGCTGGCGATCGTACATTTGGGCAACACCCTTGGTCAAGCACATTCCAAAATGGTGAAAGGCAGTTGCGGCCCATTGGCAATGGACTTGCCACATGCTGACATGGTACTGGCCACCAGACTGCTCACCAGCATGAGAGGAAATCTGAAACCATGTGCAGAGTCAAATTTGCTCAGAAAGATACAAATCTTGAGGGTGAGGAAGAGGTGTAAATCCAGAACAACATTCGTCGAACCAGCCCACAACTTGTTCCCAAAGTTGGCACTTGGGCTTTTAAGAGGGCCACTGGCCAGAACTGGATCACATGAATCCAACGGCAAGGATCGCTCTGCGCAAGTGGGAAGGTGCCATTACTCCATGAGCTTCAATGGTCATGCTCAGACGGTACATCCCCCCCCCCCCCAGGGGGTATTGGTGGGGAATGGAAGGGACCCTGGCCGTCCCTCCCACTCCCACAGAACTTCCTGTGCCTCAGCGCAGTCCCCAGCCCCGCGCGCCCGACGCCCCTCCCCCACTTCCCCACCCCCCACCCCCCCCCCACCTTTGTCCCTGGGCTCCCACCGGCGCTCCACCACCCGCTTGAACGTGATCGCCGCCACCTGCCGGATAGAGACGTCCAGCGACGCCTCCACCGACACCCTCAGCAGGCTGAACACGAACCCCCTCTCCACCTCGTGCTGCGCGCGCACCACCCAACACGGTGTCACCACGCCGGCCGCCACCCCCGGGGCCCAATCCCGCCGTCCCGGCAGAAATCAATCGCACCCCGCCCGCCGATCGCGTGAAGTTTCATGGAGGCCGGCGCGCATGAATCGTCGCCTCTCCTCCCTTCGCCACCCGCATCCCCGCTGGTGGAGATTCTCCTCCGGCATGCCGCTCCAGGGCCCAATCCAACCCGGCATCCCGTCATTGCGCGCAGTCGCCGCGACTGGTATCCACGCCCCGGGTGACAGGGCGCCGATCATCACTTTCCGGCCCCCTTCCGCAATCGCATTCGCGCTCGCAGTCCGCGGGACGCTCGACTCCGGCCGCGCAGCGCATGGCGCGCGCGCTTTCGACGCCAATAGCCGCCCGCAAAGTGGCAAAGCACAATCAAACCACCTTCGCTCAATCCACCGTGGCGGCCCCAGGGAGAATGCTAAAAAGGCATCGGAGCTCGCTTCCACAAGCCCTGGTCGCGCATCCACAGAAATGACGGAATGTGCGTCGACTTCAACGCGTGTGTTCGGCCGTCCGGCGTCCTTGTTCCGGCGCACCTGCTTGAGCAGCGCGTCCGCCCGCTTAATCTCCTCGGAGTTGGTGCCCACGCAGGCCTGCAGCAGGCCACATAGCTGCTGTATGTCCATCCCGTGCTCTGGGCGGAGCCCGGGGGGAGGTGGGGCGCTGGGCGGTCGCGAAAGTTCCGAGTGCGGTGCGGGGGGCGAGAGGGGGTGGAATAGGTTACTGGCTCCAGCGGGTCCGGGGTGGGTCCCGGCCCGACTGGGCGGTGGGTAGTGATAGGGGGGACTGGGAGGGCCGCCGCCGCAGGCCTGCGGCGCTGATGGGTCTTCTTCTGTACATTGCGCGAATTCGACTGGCGGTGGCGGAAACGTCAGTGGAGGGCGTTCCCGATACGCAGACACCAGACCAGTACTTACACCCTGAAGAATCTGAAGAATCTAAACCCTGAACCCCCTGAAAACTAAAAAAAAACTAAACAACTGAAGAAACTTAAGCACTAAAAGCTAAAAATCTGAATTCTAAAAAACTGAAACCCTGAAACCGTGAATGAACATTGGGTGAAACAAGGGGTTGGGTGAAAGTTACTTAGGTATTAGACTGAACGGCCTTTCATGCAAAATGCCTATAAGGGAAAAAACGGCGCACTGTGCTCAAGACCACGTGTTGATTACAAATGTGCAAAAACAATTGTGCACGGGAAGGTTGTTCCTGGGGCGCAGAAATTGTGCTAAACATGGCCAAGTGTGTGAGAAAAAATGTGTGCGCGGTGCGCGCATTTATCCTTGCCCTCTGCTAGTGAAAACCATTGCCCATTGCCACTGTTCCGCCACGTCTCCATCAAAGAAAATCCATGCGCTGTGGGTGATTTCGCACCAGCTCCTCGTCCTGTAAATGCGCGCCCCGCGCGCGCATTTGTCCTCGCCCTCTGCTGATTGAAACCATTGCCCACTGCCGCTGTTCCGCCACGTTTGGACTAAAGAACACCCACGTGCGTTGCAACGCACGTCATCCAATTGGATGACTTCTCACCAGCTCCTCGTCCAGCGAATGCGCGCCCCACGCGCGCATTCATTCCTTTGTGCGCAGCAACTCGGTTGTGCAATTCCGCCAGAGTGCCTGAAACACCCCTTTGTGCGCAAATAGTGCGGAAACGTTCAAATCGGAAGTTTTTCTTGCGCGCAAAGTCACAATTCTGCTAATTTCCGCGAACCACCTTATAGGCATTTTGCATGAAAGGGTGTTACTGCCCTCCTCCTTGCCGCTGGCCGGGTGGTTTGGTAGAGCGGTTGACATCCCATCGGATCAATCCCCGACATCTGCTTTTGCCGTCCGCACTAAACAAGGCGACTTTTTGGCGATGCCAACCGCGATGGCGCTTGTTGCGGTTGTCAGGCTTGGTTTTTACGCCGTAAAAACTGATCGTATTTACCTTTTTACGCGTAAAAGTAGTTTTTACGTTTTTACGCGTAAAAATGCGTAAAAATACGCAAATACAACGTAAAAACTGCCTGGTGTACTTAAGGACAGTACATACATATTAACAGAGTCCGAAGAGTGGCAGCCGGACGCCTTGGAAGAGGCAGAAAACGAGTTTTTGTTAAACGCCGTTATCGCCCTTGCCAAAGACGAGGTGAACATTATGTTCCGGGTGATGGAGATGGCCGAGGACTGATCATTGTACGCAACTTTCATCGTGTAAACTACGTGTGCCAGGAAGCCGCAAAAACGTAAAAAAGCCGCAAAAGTAGGCCCTTTTGCAAATTTACGTCTTTACGCGTAAAAACGTAAAAGTAAAGCCGTAAACGTAAAAACCAAGCCTGGCGGTTGTTGCGCCTCCTTTTACGCCGTCGCAATCATTGCGACGGCGCCCCTTGGCGTCAACATGGCACCGAGGCTGGCACCGCAAGGAAGTATTCTCTGCTGGTGTTCGACGTCCCTGGCTGTTGCCAAACTATCCGGAAGTCGACGCAGTTGTGGGGCGCGCCGACATGGCATCCAAGTACTGCCGCAGGCTTGTCGCCGAAATGGTGGTCTTTTGCCGGAAGTGACAAGACACCCGGTGGGTACCTAGAATGTCAGGTACTCGGTGGTTGGTGCACCCTTAATTCCGAAAACCAAACTGATGAAGAAATCGCAGTTTTGACAAGTGGTCACGGCGTTGTTAGAGTGGGGAGACACTACCCAATTGGCGTTGCAGCTCACCCAGCAGAACCCTTGCAGCAACAAAGGGTGCACCCGATGGAAGTCCGTTTGTGGCAGAAACGCCCGCGGGAAAATGCATTCTTTGGACGACAGGTCTTTTCAACTCATGGCGATGCATGCAAGGTGCACGGGTCGCGCCCCCCTTAGCAGGGAAGTATATCTTATGAGGTACAGGACGGTGCAGATGTGGCGCATTGACGGATATGCATTGAAAAAGAAAAGGCAATGGGGCGCACTTCTAAGCGGAAGCGCAAGAGTGGAGTCACAGCGCACAATCAGCAACGGGGTGGGGGGAGCTGAAAGTCAAGAGCGCCGTTGCGCACAGATGTTGTGGAAACCAACGACCCCGTTAAGCGGGTGTGTTGGTCAGCACTTCCCGATGGAGTGACTTATAAAATTTGCCGCTGAATGACTGAACAGTGTCCGGGTCGTGGAATGTGAATGGCACTCTTCGGGGAGCGCTCCAAATTGCAGCAGTCCATCAACGAAAATTTCTGCTTGGTGCTCCAAAGGTTGTGGCAGAGCAAGGATCTCCATGCCCTGCAACAATACGTGGAGTTGTCTGTTGGTCTTCCAACGGAACTGCAGCGCCATCGAGTCCGGCAGAAATTGGCCAACCGCATGTTCTGACGATTTTTCTACAATACAAACAATATGTACAGCTTAAGTACTTAAGCTGCACTAGTGCACGTCCAATGCGTGCACCCTGCTGCGTGCAGTAGGAGTGCGTCACTCAGCGCAACGTACAGTGCATGTCCAGCGCCCGCGAACCCAACCAATTGCCCGGTTTCATGCTTTCCACGATCGAATGAAGTCGCTGAAATGCCATTTGGGCATATTTTTGCAGCCCAGCTTGCCGCAAGCCGCCACGATTTCATGACCGGATCAATTGCGTTGGATGCCAGCATCAGGCTTGGGTTTTACGCCGTAAAAACTGATCGTATTCGCGTTTTCACAAGTGAAAAACAGTTTTTGCGTTTTTACAAGTAAAAACAGTTTTTACATTATTACGCGCAAAAATGCGTAAAAATACGTAAACAGGACGTAAAAGCTGCCCGGTGTACACAGGGACAGTACATACAGACTTCTGGAGCCGGAGAGTGGCAGCAAGACGCCCTGGAAGGGGCAGATAACGAGTTTTTGTTGAGCACCATCATCGTCCTTGCCAAAGGCAAGGTGGACACTGCGCTGCGAGTGCTGGATATGGCGGAGGACTGATCATTGTACGCAACTGCCATCGTGTAACCTGGACTTCCCAGGGAGCCGCAAAAACGCAAAAATAACCGCAAAAATAGTCCCTTCGCAAATTTACGTTTTTCCGCTTAAAAAGTTAATAGCGAACGTAAATGTAAACGTAAAAAAAAGCCTGGCCAGCATGAAACAAGTTGCAATTTACTCAGCACATAAGTACATCTTTGTGTAGAATTGAGTTAATATGCATTAATTTCGAAACAAAATCTGTCGAATCTTCACATTCAACAAAGTTTCTGTACCGGCAAAAGGTTAAAAACTATATGGAGGCGGCGTCTACAGGGCTCACTAATTATTGGAAGCATGCACTTAGAGAGTTCATTGCTGTATTTATCGGTACAATACCGGCAACGAAGAGCACAGCAATAACTATCAGCAATAATTGCTGGTAGTCTTTGCTGCGATTGTTTGCAATTGTTCTTTTTGAACCGTTTTGGAAGTCACTCAGTGATCGTTTCCAGCCTTGTGCTGTATTGGGCTCTCAGGCTTCCGGACATAAGAGAGGCATGCATTGAAAATTTCGAGGAGAGCGATGCGGACAGATACAGCAGAGTCCGGATATCGGGAGACATGGCTTTGAATGAACAGGTGACAGTCAACCGTCAAACTGTCCAGCATCTCCCACTCGCTGTGATATCGCCGCGCAGCGTGGGCGCGCTAATTAGCTCATAAGCGAGCAGCTCATGCGCAAGCATATGCGCAGCAGCGCCACCAAAGTGCATCTGGTATAAAACAGGTCTCCTGTGAGACATCGTCTCTGTCAAGGGGACGCGCCAAGGCTAGCGCCCTTCTAGGCAGAAGTAGTTTTGGTCATCATCGGTTTCCTTTGAATGCATTTGTGATAGGAACGAAAGCACAGCCCTTGGAATTGTTGCGCGACGGCGGGGTGGAAGAATGCGATGTATTAGCTAGGATTAGTTGTACGCGATTGCCTGTCCACTGAATCCCGGAATCCCAAGGAATGGGAGGCAAAAAGGGATACACAATAAGTGGAACGCTCCTCCATATCTAGAGGCAGAATTTCTTCTAACTCCAAAGTTTTCGGAGTGTTATTATTTCAAATCAAAGGAATTGCATTCGTGCATGGATCCTGCCGCAGCCATGCGCGTTGCTGCACCAACAGCAGTGCTTTGGCTGTATTGCACCATAAACTTCCAAAACTTCAAATGGCTGTCAGTGTTTGGCAACACAACATCGGTACAGATACACGGTATCGAACACCGTATCCGCAAGAATTTGCTGATTGGTGTTCAGAAGACCAGCTGTGCCTGATGGATTCCATCTGGCAAGTACGGCATACCTTTCCATTCAGTCTTTGTGAACGCTGATCCAAATCCCCTCCGCATGGCTGCAATTTAGGGTGATGCAGTTGAAATTTAAGGAATGCAAGCTCAGTTCAATTTTTTGGAGTAAAAAAGGCGGCTAATCCACCCTATTTGAAGTCAGCAAATACAACCTGTCGGCGTGTGGGCGGAATGCGTTGTACACCGACAGCCTTGCAGATGTCCTCAGCGCAAATTACGCTAATCGTGCAACTGAATCAAATTTAAGAATATTTATTCATGAATAGAAGTTCATGATGTCCAGTATGGGAGTGTTAGTCCGTCGAATTGTTTTCAATTACCCACAGTTGAAAAATTCCTGCTCTTGTCTCCACAATATGATACCGGTC